TTCAAAAAGAGTAACTAGGGAATACTTAAAACGGAGTCTATATCAGGCTGCCTGCAAAAAGAGTAACTAGGGAATACTTAAAACGGAGTCTATATCAGGCTGCCTTCAAAAAGAGTAACTAGGGAATACTTAAAACGGAGTCCATATCAGGCTGCCTTCAAAAAGAGTAACTAGGGAATACTTAAAACAGAGTCCATATCAGGCTGCCTTCAAAAAGTTGAGACAAACTCTTAATTTAGTTACATGGCTTGATAAGCACCACATTTCCAGATGGCAGAGCTGAGACAGTTAAGGGTGTCATTATTTTTTTTTTTTCACCTAAAAGCAGGCTCATTTAAGGATGGCACTTAATCTGGGGAACAGCATTACATATATTGCCAGAAATAAATATACTACTCCTAATCACTACACATTGGAAACTGGAAAAAGCCCCTGAGGGCTAAGCCTTTCATACTTACCTATAACATCGCAGAGGACTACTGTAGCATCATAGTGAATGGTTGCAAAATATGATGCAGTGGTTGTTCCATTCTTGAGTAACCTCGTCTTGATCGTGTTGAAAATAAAAGAGACATTTAAATGCCTGTGTGAACAAAAAACTAAATAAAAGTTCTTCTCAAGTTAGCATTCTTGCTCGTTGTTCTTATTTCTCTGTGACATAGCACTTAAATGGTATGTTCTTGGTTTTTTAATGTTTTTCTTGCAAAACATACTTGATAACAAAATAATGAAGTACAGTTGAAGTATCCTTATACAGGCAACAAGCCATTTTGTTCTCTCATTTTTAATCAACTCCTCCCTTGGATTGTCTTCCAAAAAAAAAACTATCATACACAAAACTAATTCATTTTACCTGCTTTTGTCAATTTTGGAAAATGTCCAATAAATGCAAATGAAAGTAAAACTTTTGCTCAGCACTTTCCAGCCATCACTGATAGTTAACTCACCACTACTTTTCTGTATGCATTCTGAGCAAATTCTTTGCTTCTGAATCTTGATTCAGAGGGAAAAGTATACTTTTCAAGCCACTGCAGGAGAGGCAAGTCATAGCCTGTTCCAGTGAATATGTACTGCGGAGCATGAATATGAGTATCCACTAATCCAGGAATCATAAACTGTCTAAAAAAGTCACAATGAGAAAAACATTTATCAGCAAACAAGCCTGTAGTGATGTCTGCCACATTCCAAAGGGTTCTCCAAGGGACCCTTAATTGAAAGAGATCAAGGAGTATATGGTCTCTGAAGAAACCATGATGCTATGTTGGTGGTAGTGCAAAATAATTTGCCTTTTTAAACTGAATTGATAATGTGAATTGGTCACTGTTTTGAGTTTCTAAAGCTGGCATTTCAGAGGTTAGGCCATTTGTCAGAGCAAATTTTCTCTTTGTAGATTTACACTGACAAAGTAATTAACACTTGAAACATCAGGTTTAGAATCTCTTTAATAATAATAAAAATAATTTGACATATTTAACCAGGATAAACCTGTCAGCAGAAGCTGCCATCAATAGGTGCCCTGGGAAACAAAAAAATAGCAAATAAAATAATAATAAAAGCCCTAAAAACTATTACAATATACATAATAAGATAAAACCCATAGGAAAGTAGTTTTTATTGCTGACCAATTCACAAGATTAACTCAGTACTGATAAGAAACAAATCGAAAGTGGTTTAGCACGGTCTGTACTCTTGTCAACAGTGATATTCATAATCATAGAGGCCAAAATCTTGCAAGTCCCCAACAAATTTTTGACCTTTGCAATGATGAATATCATTGTCAATACATACCAGACTAAACCACTTTTGATTTACTTTTTACCTCAATATTGATGTGAAAATTGTAAAATAATTCTTTCAGTGCATGACATATTAGGTGTAATCTTCAATGGCAAATTGGCCAATCAGATTACAACATTACTGCCAATTGTTGTCAAAAGCTAACTTATCTCAAAACAGATACACATGGAACAGTTTTCTGTCACTCTAGTGGACAACAATCCTTCTCAAGGTTATGCACACCCAAACAATTGGACCATTTTATTACAATTCTTCAGATGAACTTAAAACAACTGAGAAGCATGTTTACAATCAGGGATATTTAATAGACTCCTTCATCCTAACATGCCAATGTTTTTCAAAAAGATTTTTAGAATTTACAGAATCTAATCTACATCAAAATATTGATATCGTATTAATATTAATTAATATCACATTAATATATTATATCTACATACATGACAATGTGGTAACTTTTCCTAGAAAGGACTAGCTTGATCAAGGTTTATTTGAGGCAAGAATATAATTATGAAACTTATTCACTATTTATCTATTATTTATATATGTAAGGATCCTTAAATATATAATTATATACTAATTGTGAATTGTAGCCAGCACTGTTAAAAAGGGCTTGATACACATTTGTGTAGAGCGGTTTATAACATTAAGTGACTAGAAGGAAACACACATGATTCACATGAAACTCAGAGTTGCAGCAAATCAA